AAGTCGTAAATAAACACAGATAGATCTAAATAATATACTACAGTATTGTACACCTTAAAAAGGTCTACAAAAAAGTCCACGATGGTATATGTCTATCTCTTAGGGATAACCCACAATAACCATTTTTTATCCTTTACTTTTTACGGGAAATAATGGCTTATTTACGAAGCGATTTTAAGCAATACACCATTAATCCTTATCCATTTAAGTACTTTTAAATACATTGTGCTTTTAATACAGATCAATATGGTCCTTTAAAGCATATAATTTAAATGAATATTTTGGAAGATATTACAGACAGCGGTACCGGCCGATTTGTATTATCTAATGACAAAAAATCTGTGATTGTTGTATATAGACACTCTATACTCTATAGTATATTTACTATCAGCATTGCAACCTTGCGAAGCATTGTGTACAAATAATACCATTAAACCAATTCCTTAACCCCTATCCCGGTATGTTTGTGTGTTTGAAGAAGTTTCACTTCAATAGCGTGTTGTATAATAATTACACTTTGTATTTTTTTCAGTTGTATTTCTTACATTAAAGAAAGAACGGGAGAGTTAGTGTGAAGCCTCCATCTTAGTCAAGCCGTCCGTGTATCTGATTGGCCACGAATTATCTTAATTCAAGACAAGGGCTACCGAATTGTGGCATGCATCAACCCGATTCATTAAAAATTACAAATTTTATAATAGATCTTAAATTTAAATGAGGTTTAATCCGGCCACTGACAAATAATTTATTTCATATTGACTAGCGGGAGACAAGTTGTTCCTTTGACAGTCCGATTCTCAAGCGGTTATCGTCCAATTTGTACGTGTTTATAATAAACAAAACTGACTGCCGTTCTAAACGTTTATCCTGATAGGACGGACGTCAGTTTATATGAGCACACAAAGTAACTATATTACATCGTTTCGTGATAGAAATGCTCATGTAAATACAGAAGTTTTTGATGTGGGTACGGCTCATCGATTGGACGGCTCTAGATCTCTCTCAAGCATAAATTCACGTAATAACGACGCCGGCTAAGAACGAAACGTTTTCAATTGCCGCTGCGCTGGTGAAATGTTCTTTATCCACTTCGACAAAAAATCAACCGAACAAACACTATTTATTTTGTGATTCAACACGTTCGCGACTTCGTGTTGGATTTAAACTAAACCATAAACGCTCTTTCTTTTGTGAATGCAGTAAATTATTAGACACCTGATCAAAAAGATGGTTTAGATTTAATTTTCAGTGATGTAGATCTCTATATAATAGTAAAGATAGTAGATACTTAAAAAAACAAATGACTTTCAGATCATTTTTACCGTTAAGGAAAGATGGTGAAATAAAATAATACATAAAAATAAGCACCGTCCATGGACACATCTGAAATAAGTTTAATTGTTTTTTTGTACTATCTTCCTCACTGTCAGATAAATGAATAACAATTTAGGAATGTTAATATAAACATATTGGAATTCTGTACAAATTAGAATTCACTAAATTAAATGTCACCTATTTCAATGCCAACAGAAGAATTGAAATTCTGCAAAAATCCAAGTCTTTCAACAGTCGCTTCCTTCTTTGTGTCTCGATAATTGTCCTACCTGTGTTCGGCGCCACATTTGACATATTTTAAACCCAAACAATCCTGTCAAATATTTCGCTGCCCTAAATGTTACATTCCGTGTTCTTAACGACAAACGCAGTCGAACGGAATAATAGCAAATAACAGTAACAGATAAATTAAAAATGTTACATAGAAACATTTATTAGAACGAGGAAAAACTGCTGTTCAAAAATTAATTAAGAAATATCTTAATTTTTATGTAGGCTTATACCTACATCTGTATGAATATACCTTTATCGTTGTTTGCAGTTAGTACATGTAAACGCGTACCAACCTAAACGCATTTACAATTACTTTACTTACATATAAATTGCTTATAATTATCATAAATTTCTTCCATCAACAATAATTTAATGTTGTATGACACGTTTTATAATGTACAAAACCAACACGGAGAAAATGGAAAAGGAAAATTTATCTAAATATTAAAGCGATATTTACAATTTATTCCACTAGCCCGTTGCTTCGTAANAAATAAATAAAATTACCTTTATTCCTTTATATTATTCAGTCGGTTTAAATTATTCCAAAACACACATTAACAGAAGAATTACAAAGTACTTATTACACGCACTTATTAACAATCGCGTAAAAGTATTTGTCTTTATTATAGAACATTTGGTACCACGCAAACGACAAACACCGCTTCTTCTTCGTTCATTACATCATTACTGCCGGCTAAAAATAGTTCGCAACCTCCAACCTCTGACATGCGACACAGTGTTGCCCGGCAGCGATTAACATATTTTATTGAAATCTGGCAAAGCATTTAATAATTAATAAATAGTCAAATGAGGAGATTCTTGCTATAGTCTACTTTATTTGCCTAGCAGGTACTAAGATGGACAGGTGACGAGTTAATTTCTTTTAGTTTGTTAAAAAGATGTAACTAAAAATATGAGCATAATTTATAATTACTTTTTATACAACTTGACAACGTTGAATCCAGTCTGTCTTTGGTAAGCAACTCGAATCCGTCAACTACACTATCAAACAAACAACTTATTTACAATAATATGTTCAGCTGAGGATAGAGAGAAAGGTGCCCTTGATAAGGTTGCAGAATAAAACAAGTCTGAACGCACAAAAAAATGCCACAAAAAGCTTACAACAACATATAATATGTATTCTACTGTTTGCTCGTGAAATAATAATTTATATTTCAAAAATTATCTTCATAAAATGCATGTACGTATATATACAAATATAGTATATACTTGAAAACATTCGTAAATTTTAAGAAAAAAAAAGGAATTTGATGCATGCTAATGATAATGTTCCTAATTGCAATTATCGTTAGGTGGAATATTAAGATAATTAATGACCACTTTCAATTTTTTAAATTAATCATATGTCTTTAAATGTCTCTATATGTACCTATTAGCTTATTGTATTTCGGATATACTTTCATAGTTGCAAACGTATGTTGCTTTTAAATGAATCTATGTTTGTGGACCACCCATTTTTTGCGAAATAAGTCCTTCGAAACTAGATCATCTGTGTACAAAAAATTGGTAACTATAGCACTAGCAATGTACTAGGTACCTTGAAAAAAGCTTGCGTACAATTGATTAAAGATCCTCTTTATTAATACTTTGTTCAGATTTTAATGAATCGATTAAATGATTTAATAAACAGTTCCAAATACATGGAGAAAATGAAAAACAAAAATTCATCTAAATATTAAAGCGACATTTACAATTTATTCCACTAGCCCGTTGCTTCGTAAGCGAAAATAATAAAAATTACAATTTGGACTCGAATTTGTAAAAATAAATTTAATTAATTAAATACAAATTTAATTGTAAAAATTAAGAAATTTGAAATAACTTTAAAGAAACATATCAAAATTGAGATTATTATTACAAGTTACCTACGACAAATTCAGTCATTTACAATCGAAAATTGTAATTTTTTGCGTTGTCATAAAAATTTTGTTTTTTCCATGTATCTTTTCTAGAAACCGATTTATCTAAGCTTCGCTGATTCGATCGGTAGGAACTTTTTGGTGGTCGACATTCAGGAAATGCCAGGAGGGTAACAAGTTGCATCGGAAAACTGAAATGCCGAAGTTAAATTAACAAGTTGGTTCGAATTTTTCGTCCGTGTGACAGCTAATTTAGAAGCAAAGCGCATTTTTAGTCCGATCGACCCTCATCTTTAGTGACGTTTTTAGAGCTCGTTATATTCAGATGTCAATTAATCGAAGATCTCACACGTCATTTCAATATCAGAAGTATTTCGAACTCTTCTTCCGCTTGGACGCAGAGCTTTTCGGAAAAGGGAACACACCAGCTCGCCCTCTAATACCAACCGTATTTATATTAAGTTTAAAAGAAATTCAATTAATATCAAGCATATATTGGAAATAAGCAAAGCGATGGGAATTTAGGATGCAAAAATTCAGAAATTAAAGGTATTTATTTAGAAAAGCTAGAATTTACTGGAAATTGTGCGAATTTATTGGAATCATTCTGGAATTTCAAAGGATTTATTTCTACTTGGAGGGGAATTACTATCTCCGCATAAATTTTTACTCTCGTGCATTACCTTCGGACAACTGGGAGTGATTTTATAATCATTTTGTGTATAGTTACCATAAATAACAAAATTTTTTTTCGGAAAAATTTTAAACGGATTTTTTATAATGCAACATGTAAATTGGGCACAGTGTTAAGTACTTAGATGAAGTATTTACTACTTGCTATCTTCTAAAAATACATCCAATCTCAATTCCTACACCAAATAACTCAGTAATAATAACAATTTCTTAGAATTCTAGAAGATATAAGAGAATTATTGAGGACTTACTAGGATTTATAGGATGTGCGACGAAATTCCAAGACCTTCCTCGGATTTACGTAAAGGAAAGAGAATTATTGATAGATTGCAGAGAGTTTATTTCAAAGAAAAGGATTTATGGAGTCAATCAAAAATTAAAAACGGTTCTTCTGTACGGAACTTAATGTGGTTTGAGACGGGTGGTATTTAATGGAAAGCTCATCAGAAAGAAAACATGAACCATTAACCGCAGTGATTTTACCGGGTACGCGGTTATCCATTACATCTCTAGTTTAAATATATATATAGGTAGATATATATCTATTATAAAGACATCTCATAAAAAACGAAGCATACGTACAAAAGTAGAACTTGTTTGTAATAACATCGGTTATAACGACTACTCTATTTAACGTCAGTTTTTAATAGCTCCGCAGGTTAACTATTTGTCAAACCAACGCCAAAAATCTCGGTAATGTAGCGATAACAAACTCATATATAACGTGTCATATATTTATTCATGCAAATCATTGAAACGGTCGCATCACTTTGTCGTTACTTTGGTCCGTTGGCACGGTCAACAAGGTGAAACATTGCTTACCTCTAATTGTTTTTGTTAGCATTTATGAGATAGTTCTGAAAAATCAAAATTATCGCCGGTCGCTTGATTGACGCTGTAACAAAGTTGTACTAAATTCCAAAATAAGATAGATAAAAATACAGTTAAGATGTTTTAATTATACATAAATAGAATGTATTTAACTTTTCCTAACGTATACGTGTGACAAATAAAACGAAAGCAAAAGAGATGATCAGAAACCAAGTGTTTTGTCATCCTTCTTTTTTTATTTTCGGACATTACAAAGCCCACAATCTTGTGCCTAGTTAACATAATTCGTATACAATTTTTTAGCAGCTAAAAGGCTGAACGGTTGTCTTGTTCGATTAATGTTTAAATGGCATTATAGGTGTCAGCTCACTGGCTCGACCTTCCTCATCGCTCCTTATCGGCAGGATCAACTCTGCTTCTCGATGGTAACGAAGATAAAATGTTCAGGTCCGCAAACGAATGAACAATTGCTTGCTGAAACAATCAGCACCTACATTTCTTACACAACTACTGGAACACTTCGCAAGGAAGGACAGAAACACGTCTCCATTAAAAAACAATTAAAATATTTTTTGTATCGTTTCACTAAATTACTTTATACGATGACTAAAGATATAAATATACAAATAGTGACATATGTTAGTATAAGTATGCAGTATGAACCCGTAGGGTCCAAACTGAATTCTAGCAATACGGCAATTGAAACGCCTATCAGAGGATAGTTTATAATTAATAATAATTACAGTGAAATTTACAAAAAAAAAGTTGTTTTCTTTGGCGCAAAAATTTAACGAAAATTGAGTTCATTCAGGCATGAACCGTGTAAGATCTCGCAATTTTTTAATGAACATAGGATGTTGGTATCTCACAAAAAAAAGTAGGTAATTCCTTAACAATATACGAAACCTACAATCAACGAGTCGAGGGTCATACCTAATAAAACAATTTCACCCAGGACAGGGCCGTAGCGATGAGCTCGGGGCCCCGGTGCGGTATTCCGCAAGGGGCCCTTCTTAAAATTGATGATCAGAAAAATGTCATTAAAAAAAATGTTTTAATTTCACGAATAGATGATTCCCCGTGCAGCACTGACAGATAACCTCTCACGGTGATGCCAACGTCGCGGTGTCGGCATGGGCGGCAGTTGGCAGCATTGAAAATGAGCGAGCCCGAAAAATAAATTTCGATAAAACTATTGATGATTTTGCTGCTATCAAATCGAGAAAAAAAACGTTTTAGAAATAAGAGCAGGCACTTGATGTTTGTGCAATGAATTCTATAGTGATGTTTCGGGTGATATAGATTTATGGTCAGCAATTAGTAATTTTTTATGGTAGCAATGATAATTATATCAACGGATTTAAGGAAACCATGAATGTAGAAGTATTCGCGATTTCGAGATGTATGCATTCCATGTAACTACGTACCTGATCAAATATATGGAGTATTGTGACAAAAATTGATATAGAAAAAAGTAAAATAAAAAATTATGATGTTCATTTCGTAGTTTGACTCAGCTCATCTCTAACAGCATAGTTTTTTTTAGAAGTCATTTTTTGAAAACAGAAAACTGCTAAGGGGCCCCTCGACTGCGGGGCCCCCGGTGCGCCGCACCGCTTGAACCGGCCTCGCTACGGCCCTGGATGATGATGATTTCCGATAAGTTTGCCCACTATAATCCTATCATCTCTATGTTTGGGACAACCTGCAACACCGTCTGTTCTGAAAACATTTTCATGTTACGCAAAGAATTCTTTTTAATCAGCCTAGACTGAAAATGTGTCATTTTCACCTTTTGGTTATTATCTATCGTTTAAAATTTCTGTGCTAATTTCATGTTTCCTGTAAAATATTAGAATCGATACCGGACTACGTAGCAAGTGAATTCAGTCACTTACCCAATCAAACGAACCACAGACTCCTTTCCGAAACTTTGTAGGTAGCTAAACGAAAAGAAGTTGTTGCC